AATGAATATAGCTCACTTAGCCAAAGAAATACAAAAAGCTTCAGTCAAGAGTTTTGAAAACAGTTCTTTAAGAGTTTCACAGATTACCCGTTCCACAGATAGTTCAGCTCATGGCTGATATTTTAAACATAATTATTCCCAACTGAAGTCCCATAGACCCGAGATTCAGTTATGAGTTAACGAATGGAACGAAGAGAAAAACACTTATATTAATTTAAAAGACAGTTTACAAAAGAAACATAAAATGAAGAAAAATGGGTTATTGCTCGTGAGGAGTCTTAATGGTTGATACAGAGAAGAGAAGAGGGGTTGTCACTTAACTATAGTTACAACTTAAAATAAATCTAAGCTACTAACTACTACTACTACTACTAGGTGATCTCTTCCTTTCGGACTTCAAACCCTCCAGGATTCGATGATGTTTTTGTGTGTGGGTCGTCCTATTTATAGATGGAAGATGAGTGGCAGTCTTGTAAATCCTTTACAGCAAGTTGCTTGAATAAGGGGACGGGATGGTGGCAGCAGAGTGTGGAGACTGCGCAGATTGCTGGATGGAACAAGTTTTGGTGATGATTAGCCGTTGTTTGCAGTTTGCCCCATGCCTTGCTTTCTTTTTCAGCCAATGAGAACTCTTGATTCTCTGCTCTTCACGTTTCTAGCTGCTCAGTTGGTGCACCGCCTTGCTTTTAGAAGACTTTAACTCCACATTACCTGCAAAGTGTACAGAGGCATTACATGAGTGGAGCAGGTGCATTAAATGCGTCTCAGTCCGTTCTCATTTTAATATATTTTAAAGGAATACGTTACCATATGTTCCCCCACTGTGTTTTTGTCACAAATGTGTAAAACAAGTGATTTTCGTGCTGAAGTTGCTCATCAGATGAGGGAACGTGTGGTATTTTGCCATCAAAATGGGCTTAGATGGGAACGAATTTACGTCCCATCAGCGAGATCCGCGCTAGTAGCGTGGGAAAAATTTCATAACGCAAAAAAAGTACCGCGCTACTAGTGCGGGATCCGCGCTAGTAGCGCTGGAGAATTCCTACATACACAGTGTTATCGCGCTACAAGCTCGGGATCCGCGATTCAGATACCTTTGTTAATTGTGTCGCAATAGTAGCGTGGGAAGCACGTGACAATTTTTAATTAGGATTCAAAGTGTATCTGGAGGAGATTCTAAACAAAGATATGATCAAGATTTGGACCAAGGAAACAAAGTCTATAAAAGGAAGACAGAGAACCCTTAGACAGACATCTTTGGCTGGAGAGAATTGTGAGGATCAGAGAATTGGAAGAATTCTTGGAGACTCGCATTGGAGATCAGGATTCCACCGAAGTTGAAGACTGAAGACCATTGATCCTTCATCTTCTTCTTCTTTTCTTTTTCTTTCATGAACAATTTTTCTTATTTTAATTTGTTTAAGTTAGACATGAATATGTTTGGCTAATTTCTTTTTGTAGTTGGGATCACGAACCCAATGTGAATCCTTTATATTTTTTAAATTGCTTTTATGATTAATTAGTTTAGTTAGTTTTATTCTACCTGTGTTAATTTTTCTATATCCTTATTAGAACTGATCACTCTAATTATAGGACTTTGAGGGTTAGGGCTTACAATAGACATATTGGGGTTTTAATCTGGACAAGGGTAGAATAACAATTTGTGCATGACCTAGACATAGGCTTACATAGATTGCAGACTTTTAATTCATTTGCTTAATGCTTAATTCAAGAGGAATTACTAGGACACTAGGATTCTAAATGGGTTAAATGGTTGAAATCACTAAGACATTAGGGTTCAACTATTTAATAGGGACATAATGAATTGTCTGAGCTAACCAATTAGTTAATTATAAAATACAATATAGGAATATAAGGGAGGATCGGAGGTGAAGTGCATCCTGACTACAGTCTTTTTACAATTTTACTTAATCTCATAATTTCTTGTCATTCTTGCTATTCTTGCATGCGTTTGAATTTAATTGCTTTTAAAATTCTTTTTTTTTTTAAATTATGACAATCAATCAAATTCACAATCAAACCTATTTTTCTTCCAAATCAAAGGGAATAGTTCAATTAGTACTTGGTGCATTAATCCTCGAGGTAACGATCTTTACTTATCACTTTTATTACTTGAAACGAACGGTATACTTGCCGATTTCGCAACAGCAGTGAGGAGAAAGAAAGAGGAAAATGATTTATTTTATTCCGCAACTCTCCATCATTGGATGAGATTGTAATCTAACGATGTTGAGAGGGGTAGGCAAAATAAGAGTAGGCAGAATAACCGGTAATTGGGGATAGGTTATTCTGCTTACTCTTATTTTGCCTACCTTTGCCTATCCCTTTCAATACCGTTAGATTACAATCTCATCCAACGGTGGAGATTGACATAATAAAATAAACCTTTTTTTCCCTTTCTTTCTCCTCACTGTCTCCCACACACTTTCTCTCTCCTCCCCTTTCTCTCTATTGATTTGCGTAATTTACAACCTGAATTTATATTTGAATCTAAATCCATACAATGATTAATGGCATGATGGTTCTGCTTGATGAGTATAATTTTTAAAATTTCTTGAATCTGATATAATTGAACACGGCAGAAACCACAAAATTACGAAAATAAATAAATAAATAAAAACCACGAAAAACCCTTCATTTGAGCTAATCCATGATTATCATAACGTTTCTACTTTGCTGTTGAAATTTGAAACGAATCAACTTATCTCCTTCTTCTTATCTTGTTTTTCACCTTGAAGTGGAGAAAAGATCTCTGTTTTCTTTATGTTACGCTCAACAACAAGCCTACCTGTTCCATAACATAAAGCATCTGGGTTTATTTCTTCTGGACACTACATTTCAATTTTTTATGTAAATGCTCATAACAATGGCTGAGTTGGATGAGTTGAGAAAAAAGATTACTTTTTTTTTGATGTTGAAGCACCATTGAAGAAAGAAAAAGGGGAGGAGAGAGGAAGAATGAGAGGCAGTGGTAAAGAGAAAGGGGTAAAAAGGTTTATTTTATTATGCCAATCTCCACCGTTGGATGAGATTGTAATCTAATGGTATTGAAAGAGATAGGCAAAGTTAAACAAAATAAAAGTAGGCAGAATAACATATCCTATCTTTTATCTATCTTATATATGTAGAATAACTATGTAAAAATAGACTTTTTAGAATTTTGCTCAAGTGTTAATGTTGTGTGCAAGTAATATGTAAATAGATAGTCCAGACAAGCAGGTCTTTATCATTTATTCCATTTCCAAAAAGAATGAGTCTTATTTTTGCATATCATTAGTACTACATTCTGGAATCTCTTTTGTCCTTAGGGATAGCTGCAGACTGATATAAAAATATCATTTTGCATAGTTGCAATGTATGTGAATGCAAGTAACATCTAATTAGATAAGCTTGTACCAAAAATTCAACGCACAAGACTTTCTTGGCTAAGCAGTAATCTCCCAACTCCCAAGCTGGCACGCACATTTAAGGAATATCCGCTCCATCACTAGCTAGCATATGCATCCTGAACAAGTTATACAAAAATATATTATTTTTACCACCAAATCTGCCATGGGTTGTTCCACCCCACGAAGAACTGATACTCCTCAAACAAAAATTTCAATGTATTATATATGTGAATCAAAAACCTATTGTATTATCAACGTCTCATATCAAGAACGTATTGTGAACATATTGAAAATGCTGTGTCGGAATAGGTGCTTCGTAGGTTTCACCTCTTGATTTTGAATAACATAACTGTTTTAAAAATTTGATAGAGAAATTTTTTTGATGACCTATGTGATTTTATTCAATTTGAATAAAATTAATCGAATAATTAATGAATCGATGAATAATATAAAAAAAATCTAATTTTTCGTGATGATTAGTAAGTTGATGAGGGCAAAATATTTCTTTATTCGGATAATAATAAGTACAAGGGATATATGCATATCAATATACATGTTCACCAAGAACCAAGCAACAACTGCCTCAAAATTATGATCGTTTTAACCAGTGCCCAAAGTCACAGCTTCCACTTTAGGATAAATAGATTATAAATAGATAAAGGATTAACAAATTATAAATAGATAGATAGATTCATCATCACGTTGTCATATCGTAGAATCATCAGACAAGACCAAGTCAACAGATAATGGAAATATATTTTAACTCATTCATAATTTTAAAGACTTAAATCAAGTATTCTATAATAATATACCAATAAACAACACATGTAGATGATAAGACCAATTGTCAATAGGCTAACGCGGTTTATCATGAACCTTGTGTTTGTTGCCGTCTGACAAAAGACAAGTAATCTAATAAATTCATAGATCGATTTAAATTACTGTTTAAGAAGCATGAATTGTTTATATAAGTATATATATATATATATATGAGATAATATATTATGGAAAAAAAATTTCTCATGCACTTGACACAAAAATAATATGGACCCATCTTGATCTTTTTTTTTTTTTTTTTGAGTGGGCCCCATTCCAAGTTGTTTCAGTGGCTGGAGAAAGAAATTTTCGATAACAGGATAATAAGCAAACTCTATATATCCCATTCCAAGTTGTTTCAGTGGCTGGAGAAAGAAATTTTCGATAACAGGATAATAAGCATATATATATATATATATATATATATAGGGTTTGATTTTCTCATGTTGCATTGACTCAACTAATGGTGGATCTTATATTTATTAAAAAAAAAAATTTACACGTAAATCGAAAGGTCACAATACGAGAATAGAAAATATTTTCCATATATATATATATGGGTTTTATTAATCTCATTTAACATAAGATAGTTATCTTATGTTGTAGAGAAAAAATAGGTGGGTCCCACCATTACAAGAAAAAAAAAAAATGTGGGGTACAAAAATCGAAGTGAGAGAACATGAGAGAAGATATCTTATGTAAAAGGAGAGTAATATTTCCCTATATATATATATATATATATATATATGAAACAAGCAACCATTGTTAAGGGAATAGAAGTGTGAGAGAAAATGTATGTGACACGACCACTTTCCTTGTACAAAAAGAACCCTGGTGCTCTTTCAGAACCCCCTCCAAAGGGGCCAAATTCAGGTTATCTTGTAATCTTTGATGAAGAAGCTCAGACATACTCTTGTTTTGGTTTGTGCAAGGATGACAGCATCACTGATCTTCCTTTCCCTCAGAACAAAAACTTAACCATCAACTATGGAAGCGATGATGAAGAATCCTTGTTCGTTCCAGTGTTGAATCAGCCACTGTCTTCCAACCGCTACTATGTTATAAGAAGGAAGGGGAAGCATCGAGGGTATGAATCATTTTTCTATATCTATTAAACTTGATACTATTTTACGTTTAGACCTTAGGATATGCCGTAGAAGGTGAAAATAATTGGAAATTAACTGAGTAGTGAAATTCCATGTTTTAAAAATTGACTAAGCAAGGATCATGTAAGCGAAAGTACTCATAAACCTAATGACTTAAGGTTTTGAGTTGAGATATGATATCTGAGCACACTTGTTTAGCACATTTGACATATATAAATTCGAACACTTTGGCAAAATTTATTGATGAATTGATATTGGTAGTTAAAACATCATTTTGAACTTCAGAGTTTTGAATTTATTTCAGCCAAGCTAGCACAAGTTCGAAGGAAGAGGACGCGAGCACTTGTTTATGCTGCACTTTTACTCGAGATGTTAAACCAAGACCTTTGGATCCCTTTGATGATTATCAGCAAGTTGAAATAATCAAGAAGAGTTATGGTTTTCAAGCAAAATCCGCTGCCCCAGATGGAGTTCCTCCTGGTTTACTGAGGGTCAAAGGTTGGACTGTTAGATCACACACTCCTAGCAGTTACATTTTGGATGAAGCTTTGGGATTGAATGAATCCTTACGTTCAAGGTTACCAGATTTCAACTTTTCTCTATACAATGATCGTTCTGATTCAGTGGTTGTTGGAAAGTGGTATTGCCCTTTTATGTTTGTGAAGGAAAGAATGAAATTAAAGGATCAGATGAGAATGTCAGCGTTCTATGTTTTGACACTTGAGCAAAGATGGGAAAAGATATTTTCAAAGGAAAATGGAAACAGTGGAGAAAATGGTGTGCTTGTAGATGTTGTAATTCAAACAGAAGCTGCCAAGGTTGCTGGAAAGGATGCTGTTTGGGATGAAAATGGTGTGGTTGATGGGGTGTTGTGGTTTAAGAGTTATGATGGTGAGGGAGCAGAGACAAGTGTTGGATTGAGTGTAGAAATTGTTGAGAGAATGAAATGGGAACAAGAAAGAGTTGGATGGATTGCAGGGAATGAAAGACAAGTGAGAGTAGAAAGAGTAGAGGAGTTTGGAGGAACTGACAAGTGGAAGAATTTTAGCTGCTATGTGTTGGTGGAAAGTTTTGTATTGAAGAGAATGGATAGAAGATTGGTGCTTACTTATGATTACAAGCACACACATCAAATTAGGAGCAAATGGGAGTGATCATTACTTTCTCAAATCTCTTGCTTAGTTTATTTTGTTTTTCTTCTTAACTGTATACCTTAATGTTTGATTCTTGTTATTCTAAATTATGTTATACACTTATACTTATACAGCTTATTTATGCTATGCAACTTCTATTACAGCCAACTCTGTTTTGGCTCTAGTGAGTTTGTAATGAGAATAAAAGACAATATTTAGAGTTTCCTAGAACTGGCATTGTGTCATAGCGAGGATAAATCTTGTATATCTTCAAAAAAGAAGTTTGTTATTAATCTGCGTGCCGTTTTTATACCATAATTACTAATATTTTGACATTTATTATTTATTTATATTGTATTAATAAAATAAAGATAATAAATCTTTTCACTAAAAATGCGTGCTAATTTATGTCTAATTATATATACTTCAGGTTTGAATTTTTTTTAATACCAATTGAGTTTAAATGTTCTCTAATTTGATGGATAAAAAGATCAAGTATACAAATACTCGACTGTTTTGCAACACCATCTATCTTATAATAATAATAATAATAATAATAATAATGAAAAGATATAAAATACTAAACCGTGTGGTATTTATTATATGGAGATTTATTATTTATTCATAATTTTATTTTTCTTAAATTATTAATACTTCTTAATTTGTAATTGTTACTTTTTTTTTGTACAAGTAATTGTAAATATTTTAAGGAATTACTCATGTTTATCTCCTACACACATAAAAGTATATGAGATTCATATTTTTCTTTTCTTTTTCTTTTCTTCACATGGGCCCCATGTACTTTTATGTGTGTAGAAGATAAAATTATCTCTTAAGAAACATTAATCTCATATTTTAAACATTATAAAACTTCTACGCTGCGCTTATTTATTTATTTGAATGAAATTTTATAGTTAAATAAATACTTTATTATTATTATTTTATATTACTTATGTTTTTTAGTCCTAGTTAAAAATACAAATTGCATATTGAATAGCTAGCTCCTAGTGGCCATGAGACATATCATGTTCATCCGATGTGAAATGTTGGATTTATAAGATTATATTCGGATTAATAGAATATGATTATTAAATTAATGATGAAAGACTAAATCAATCTGTTATTATATATAACTTGTTTATTTATTATTTACTTTCGTTTAATCTGTTAGACTTTTTATGATTCATCAAAACACCTCAACTAGTATGGGATAAAGAGAATTTGATGCTGAGTCTAGGGTATTTTCATATTCTTTTCAGCTTTTGAAGCTTTATACATATAATTATCGAATACTGATGAATTTATCTTGGTAGCTCAAACATCACAAGTTCAAAGGAAGAGGATATGTGTGGGAATATTTAATTGTGAATATTCAAGTGTGATGAGTCACCTATTAGTTGATAATAGGCTAAAGTCAAGTGTATACAAATGAGAGGATCCATGAACTCAATGTCTTAATGTTTTGGGTTGAAACATGATACTAGACCCGCTTAGTATGGTTAGGCTAGCTTAGCTCATTGGTGGTCCTCCTCTCACTGTGGGCTTTTCTTAGACCCGCCTGACTTTGGTACCAGAGCTGGTTGTGCTCGAGCTAGCCAGGTGTTTGGCTAGGAGGTGAGTTGAGTACCTGGGTCCTGGGATACTCGATGGAGGGATTGCATACCAATGATGGTTTCATGCTTGAGGGAAGATTGTTGTTTGAAAACAGTTCATATTGAGAATTATAGTTTGAAAAATATGTTTCTCAGCTGCAATTACTATTTGGTAAACCCAAACGACTGAAACTTTTCCATGTGTATAGATGTATGATTGTATATATTTTTGTAGAGAAAATACATAAACCAAAGAGACACTTTCTGTATGCAAGAATAATGATAGTTATGTAAGTATTTGATGATTGAGCACAAGTTTAGTCCATTAAGTTATTATCCAGTGATGTATAGAAGTGTGTATAAACAGTTTATAAGGAATGTGTGTGTATAGATAACATTACTCATAAGAAACTAAGTTATTGTTATGTTTATGCTTGTATACTAAGCAAATACATCTTTGGGACTATTAATGTGTGCTATTAACTTCACATTTGTATAAGACAAACTATTAATTTTATAAAAATCGTAGTTAAGTATGGATAAGGAGACGAGATACGTTGCTTATGCTCTAAATAATAATGATTTATGATCAATCTCTCGACAGTACTGAGTTTAAACACCACGGAGAATGAGAAGAAGAATTTTCAAAATTATTTTTCTCTTCATATCATCATATGAATTTGGGCTATTCTTAGTTCTTATATGTTTATTTTTTAATATTTTTTCCAGTACAGTGAAATATTCTAATGCTTTCTATTCTCGAACAGACTGGCGAGAACAATTTCAGACCAATATGTACGTAGTCAAAATCGAGATTTTATCTAAAATCAAAAAGGAAATAAAAAATCATAAATCGTAAAATCATAATACAAATCGTAGATTTTACCTGCACTCTAAAATTAAATTTTTATATACATATGCTTATGTATAAAAAAAATTAAGAAAAATAAACTACCTGCCATAATCCTTATACATTTGCATACAATTGTCACACTCTAAGGATCTAAGCTAATAAATCATTCAAGTTATTATCATCGAAGACATTCTGTTCCACGTGATCTTCAACTACATCATTCAAAATTGTCTTCATCTAAACTTTCATCATGAGATAAAGTTCATTCATTTTCCACAATCCATTCAGATGAAACATCAGCCATGTTATATTCAACAATTTTTCTAACTTGCTTAACATCATTTCAATAGTTAAAATCGGGATTTTAATCTTAAAATCGAGACTTAACTAAATATCTAAATCGGGATTTTATATTGAAAACGATTTTAAGTTGGCCCAAGCATCATGCGGAGCCCACATAGCCATGACATTTGACAAAATCACAAGTTGTTATTGACTCTGCAGAATTGTTACTCACACAATCATGGGAAGTTGGGAACCACTCCATTCTCTCTTTCCCTTCTCTTAAATAGCCTCGTTACTATCATTGAGATATTTTCATTTCTCCAAACTTCAAACTTGTCTAATGAAATTGTCTCTCCTCTCTGATGTGTGTACACACATCTCCTCCTTAAGCTCATAAGTTCTAAGCTCTTGCACACTATACCTGCATTAGAATTTTTTATCCTCTATATCATAGCTATCCTTGAAAAGCTATGACATAGTTACAACTATGCATTGTTTATAGTACGAGCATTTTTAGTGTTTATTTCTATTCAAATTGAGACACATGTATTATATGAATGAATGTATTATGTATTCTTAGAAATACATACGCTAAGTATAAAAGAAAATTTCTCTCTCGTCTCAGATAACATATCAGCAGCCGTATCTTATTTTCAGTGGCTGAATGCAAACAGTGAATGAGACGAGAATATTTAAAATATTTTCTTATAGTACGCTAAAAAAGAACTTCATTTGTGCGTGGTATTCTTTTTCTGGATTCTAGAGAAATGGTTTTTACAGAGGTTGTTTGGTAGAAGAATTTTTTTGAAATTTTAGGGAAAGTGATTGTGGTGATTCTATTATCCACGTTTGGTATCAAGTTTCTGAAAAAAATTTCTAGAAATATGATTTTTTCGAAATTTTGTTTTGTTTACAATTTTTCTTTCAAAATATCATCCAATTAAGAATACAATCACTTTGGTAGTATTCTTGGAATCTCATGTGTTAAGAAATTCTTACACTTTTTTAGGGATAAAATTTCGATAATATTTTGGCCTACTAAATAACTTTTTGATAATTTTTTTGAAAAATTAACTTTTTCATCATATTCCTGAAAATCTTAATTTCAGACATGAAAAAATTTATCTTCTACCAAATACCCCCTTAATTCCATATAAAAACATCACATGCACGTGGACATGAATATAAATAATAGGAAAAGCAGCTAGCTAAATTCTATTTTTGAATGACAGAATACAAAAAGACAAATACAAAGCATCCAGTGTAGAATAAATAAATTTTGAATGTTAGATTACCAAAAATAAAAATAAAAATTGAATGTTAACACACACCTAACGTCATTTATGAACAATATATATTTTATAGGTAATTGATTTCTCCAAGATAAAAAAAATATGTCTCACACAAAGCAAGATATGGTTCACACTTTATTTTTTTTTTCTCTTTCCTCTTTCCAAATGCATCCCACTTTATTTTGTGGCAGCAGGAAACACAATTTTTCTCTTAGGGGGCGTTTGGTTGAGGAAATTTTTTTGGAATAGTAAGAAAATGTAATAGATAGAGAAATGATTGGAAGATAGATAAAATGAGATAGGTAGAAAAATGTAAAAAAAAGTTGTTTGGTGTAGAAAAACTTTACTGGAAAAATTAGGTAACTTTATGAAATCAACAGTGCATTAAAAGTAAGATAACCGGTTTTCCGAAAAATCTCACCTTCAAATTGGGTTTCTAAACAGTGCGGATATCTATGTTTATCATAAATCCAGACAAATTGGATAGATGGGTTTTTGGTGAAAAACGTTGAAACAAACATGGTGTTTCTAAAAGCCATACTTGAGAAAGATAGATATCCGCTGAAAAGCTCCCAACCAAACACCACCTAAGAGCCTGTTTGGTATGTAGATTATATTTGGTTCAATGGGAAAACAACATTGGGAAGCATAATATGCCACGTTTGGTATAAAAAAAAAGGAGTTTCCCAGGTAAACAAATCTTTTGTTTTTTGCTTTTGCGTGTCAAGACTCAGGGCTCGTTTGTATTGACTTGTAAAAAAAGTCTTTTTTATGACTTCTTTATTTTAAAAGCACTTTCTATAAAAGTTATAGCTACTTAGATTTTTAAAAAATATTTGATTTTTGAAAAAAAATATTTGGGTTTTGACTTCTGCTTTTTTTAGAAGTTAAAATTTTTAGCTTCTAAAAAAAGTAGGGTTTTAGCTTTTTTTACTACTTCTGCTTTTTTTTAAAAGCAGACATTCAAATAGATTTTTTTCGAAAAGTACTTTTTTCCTTTAAAAAAAATAGTTTTTGAAGAAAAAAAAACTCATCCAAACGAACTCTTACACTGCTAGTGTCGCAGGAAGTCCAAAGAAAATGTAGAATAGTTGTCTTCCCGGGCATGTGAAAAAGGAACAGTGAAAAGGTAGACTAAAATAACCTTCTTTGGTTGTACTCAACTGAGACAGAAGACTCTACTTCAACACTTGTGTGTATGAGACAG